AAGCTTAAAGTAATTGCAGGCAATTTGCACAAACTGAACTGGAAATAAATGAATTAGTTGGAACCAATTCTATTTCTAGTTAGTGGTAGTTGATGAATCATCAGCAAGCCCCTGAGTGGACTGTTGGCTGACTAGAGTATGGGATTCTGATGCAATATATACCTGTTTTCAGTACAGCATAGCAATTTCTTCACCTATCATGGAAGACACACACAGAGGTCTGAATAGTAGTATCAAACACAGATAGCTTGCTGTTTCTAATACTGTAGGTAGCTTTATTCTGATTTAGTGTCTTGAACATACTGAATAAGAAGCAAAAAGCAAAGCTTTCTTTAGCACTGTTCCCAGACTAAAGTCGAAAACACAGCAGTGCACCAGCTACTAAGAAGGAGAAAAACGACTGCTACTGCTGAACCCAGGATGTATCTCTAATGTCATTTCTGTTTTCTGATCTGATTGGCATAATTACTACGAACTACTGAGACACCACTTTCACAAAAACAGTATTAACTCATTGCAGATGGCTGGTGATAACGAATCACTAGTTACCGATTCCTGCTTCACACGAAAATTGGAATCAGTTGTGATGATTTGTCAGGCTTTGACGCTTGCAGACTAATTAAATAAATAATCACAGAGGTTGAATGTTACATAGTCTCAGGTCAAAACCTCTTTAGCAGATCTGATCATAAATAATTACTTTAGAAATTATAAAGGGACTATAAAGGAGAAGAATTTTTTTTTTTTTTGCCTTTAAATTTTGAAGGTTTGTTAATTTAAAAATAATTAAATGCAAGTTTTGTTTTGTTTAGCTTCTGTTAGCAGACTTTCATTTGGCTTTTGGAGAGTTTTCTCCACATTGCCTCCTTTTAATTCCCCTGAGAAAAAGAGGAAAGTAATGAGAAAATGTGGTTAGAAGAAAGAAGGAATGAAGCAGAAAAATGAGAACCAAATCAAAAAGAAAGCTTTCAGTTCTAATTGAAATTAAATGAAAATGCACAGCTGCATCAGGTACAACAGAAATGCCTATTAAAGAATGAAGTTTTATTGTGAATTTTCATGTCCTTCAAATATACAGGAATCTGTACCAGAAAAATGAGTTGAAACACACCTTTCCAGTTTTTACTCTCCAGACTTTCACATGCCAGGTGTTCTTCCAAGTGAAGTATCATCCTTCTGTGTAGCTCATGTGTCCTGCGGAGGCACAGGGCCCTCTCTGGTACTGCTGAGAAGAAATCACAGTAAGGTTGCTTAACCAACATGAGGATGCATTCCTCTTTATAGAGTCTGCTCTTTGATACAGATAAGTGTGACTTCAGTGTACACTTACCTTCCCTGGAGCCTGCAGTGCAGACCACAGTTACTTTGTGAGAGTTGCGTGCAATAGACATTGTAAGATGTGTCAGGTTGCCAAAGAACAATTCTGAGATACATGCACTTTCCTTGCAAGGCTCTTGTTTAGTGTACTTCGGAGCTTTGCAGAAATCTAGGTATTAACTCTTTCTTTTCTGTTTCTATAGGCAGAGCAATATCAAAAGAAGAATCGGAAGATGCTTGTTATTTTAATTTTGTTTGTTCTAGTAATTGTCCTTATTGTTGTTCTTATTGGTGTCAAGTCACACTAGGTATCATTTCATTTTCTCATTTTTGGAGTTTCTGTGAACTTTCTTCCCCAATGTGAATGGATGGGCCTGCACTCCAGAAAGCTGCCTTTGAATGTATAAGCCCTTGTGGTGCAAAGTCTGTGCAATGTTTCTGTAGAATTCTTTAAAGTACAAGTTTGGTGGTCTGTGAGGTGTTTGTAAGGATTATATGGAAAATGTCAGGAAATCTGGTGCTCCCACACAAATAATTTGGTGCTTTATGCAGAGCTATTTGGAAATCCAGTACTTAAAAATAATTACAAAATTGAAGCTTACCAGTGAGTATAGTAATTAGTGTGTTACTGTGAACAAAAATGTGTTGTCTGCTGTATTCTTATGTCAGAATTATTACAGGCTTCAAATTTAAACCATGTTACTGAGCCAGAGAACTAGATAACAAAAATGGATCTAGATGAAAAATATGTTAAGGCACAAAAATGTTTGACTTTAATCTCCTTTCTTCCAGACTCAAAAACTCCGCAGAACTGCATAGACAGCTAAAACAGAAAGCTTTTAGCTACGAGAGTGTAATCCAGCCCCTGTGATCTTAATTTAGATACTGCACCATTACTAAGAATCAGAGTAGTACTTGATCTTGTAAATAGCAAGATCTAATCAGTGGCATAATTTAACACATTTAGTTAATTAAAACATTTTCTGAGCTTGAGTAATCATGGGAAGGTTCTTCCTCACCAGAATGATCAGATACTTTTTTTTCATGTACCTTTTTTTACTTTAAAGTACAGACATTACATTAAAGCAGTGGTGAAGTTAAACCTAAAAAATGGAGTAGAAAGCTGAAAAGAGAATCCCAACCTGACCCGCTGTAGTGGGTATCAGATTTTAGTTGTTGTATAAGCTGTTTATTTTACAGTGCATCTGTCCTATTTGTTACGGGTTTTATATAAGAACTGACTTTGCTATGTATTATATTGCATCCATTTTTCCTGACAAAAGATTTTCTTTTACATGTCTGCCTGAAAGAGGACATGTTTATGGTCTTTTACTGACTATGAGAGGTGTTATGCAAGTGACACATTACTAGGCCTTCGGTAGAGAATTTGGGGTTTTTTCCACTATTTTTTTTCAGTGGAAAACTTTACTGTAGGCCATAAAATTGAAATTAGGGCCACATCAAAGTAATAGAACACTCCTGATTTAATTCAGGCCTGAAGTGGTGTGCAATTGTAGAGGCCTTGTCTTATTATTTTTAATATGGCTTTTCTCTAGGGATTTTTTTATTGTTCCCCAAAGGGGCTGTAACTTCCTTCATTTTCTGATTGATAGAGTGCTCCCCATAAACTTGCAGAGATGCTCTGCTCAAAGCCCCTGAAATGCAGTTTTATAATGCTATAATATAAATGTATATGTTGCTTGCCCTGGGTTTATTTTTATTTAGGAGGACTTAAGATGAGGCTTTAAACTGACGGTGTAGGAATGAACCTGAAAGTGAAGACTACAAAGATGTGAAAGCCTTGGCTTCTCATGAAAAGCTTTGTAACCACTCTTGTTACCTCTAGACAAAGGGGATGTTGGACTTCCTAAACTGCCAGTTCAAACCTTTGGTTAAATTCAGAAGTTGGTAAAAGAAAGAAGGATGCTTGTAGTTGGGTGTGCAGCTCCCCTGTTCTGGTAATGGATCTTTTCAATGATCATGAGTAAAACTACTGTTTCCCTTGTGTGCTGTATACATCGGTTGGTGTGAAGCAGCATATTGCTATAATATAATATACTGTATTTGCAACTTCCTCCCTAACATGAGATCGTGTTATTTATTTCTGTCTTGACTGGTGCTTTTGACATTTTATCATGGCTAATGAATTCAGAGAAGTAATATAATAAAACACTTCCAGCCTAATTGAGCAATTAACTCTTTTTTTTTAAAAAGGTATAGACTGAAACATACTTGTGTGATGTTAATGCTTCCATTTAGTTCTTTATAACTAAATGAAAGTGGCAGTGACATAGAATATCTTTGCAGAAAAAATAGTCACTTTCTGTAGCACGATGTAGCTTGCATTGTTAAAGATGCATGATTTATGCCCATGGTATCTTAACACCACTGAAGTAACTGGCTACATATTTTCTATACAAATTCTGTAAGAGGAAGTGTGTTTTTAATGCACATCAGACGAGGTTAAACTCAGTTGTAAATTGTCCTGTGTAACCTGAGCTGGGATTTCTTGAAGCTGATTATATCGAGGGGGGAAAAAATCAAACTGCAACAGGCTTCTAAATCATTGCAGGTGTCTCGCTTGTGAGTCAGTCTAAATACCTGTCCCCAGCTCAATCAAACCCTTACGCTGCGCTTTGTAAGAGTATCTCCACGTGGTGTGCTGCAGCAAGGGGTACTGTCTGCCACTGGGCCATGAAAGCTGCTGCAAGCGAGGAGCGGTTGGGCTTTCCTAGTGGCTGCTGACTACTCAGGTGTCACTGGAGCTGCCTGAACCTACTGACTGCACTGCTGTCCTACTCGGAAGCATCTCCGTGCACTGCTGCAGGGAAAGCTGGTGCACTCTGTTCTGCAGATTGTGGCCTCTTCATGGTTACCGGATTCCTCTTGGATTGTATTTAGCCTCCGATTCCTTACAAAGGAACACAACAGCAATGGCAGAGCATCTGCCGATAATCTGTGGCTCCTCACATGGTGGGAATAACATATAAAGCTGTTGGCTTGAGCAGAATTTCTCCTCTGTTTCTGTAATTTTATTTTGGTGTACATTTCATCTGACATTTAACTTCGGGGGGGGGGGGGGGGGGGGGAGGAATTTAGCTTTTTCCATGGTTATCTCTTTGTAATTTCTTCACACTTCCAAGATGCAGACTTTTCATTCCAAAATCGTATTACAAAGGACAAGTATAGACTTTCATAAACTGGTTTGAGTTGGAAAGGACCTTAAAGCTCATCCAGTTCCAACCCCCTGCCACGGGCAGGGACACCTCTGGCTAGCGCAGGTTGCTCAAAGCGCTGTCCAACCTGAGATAGCTGGGATAGTACTCGGACCTTTCCCTCTCCGTACGGTTTGATGCCTGCAGTAGGATGAGCGCCTTGCTCAGGAGCATGACCGGGCGTTATCACCCTTTTCCTCTATAACCCCTGATCTACCCGTGCGTTCTCCGAAACCCGGCTCAAACACGAAGGCCTGGCACGAAACCTTTCCCCGGAGCAGAGCTCCCAGCACAGTGCTGGGGAGCCCCGCTGCGAGGGGCCAGGCCCGCAGGGGACCGGGTACTCCCCGCCTCCCCGGTGCCGCGCCCGCTTCCTCCGCCTCATCCGGGTCCCGCTCCCCGCCCGTCCCGGCGCGCTGCTCTCCTGCGGTGCCCGACGCTGCCGCCGGGGGCCGCCCTCGCCGCTGTGGTGCCCGCCCCGCGGAGCCGGCGCCGGGCGCTGGGGCGGAGCCGCGCGGCCGGGCCAGGCCGAGCCGAGCCGGGTCGGGCCGGGGGCAGGAAGATGGCGAACGTGCAGCTGGAGTTCCAGGCCAGTGCGGGCGAGGCGGACCCGCAGAGCCGCCCGCTGCTCGTCCTGGGCCAGCTCCACAACCTGCACCGCCTGCCCTGGGCCCAGCTGCGGGGCAAGCTGCAGCCGCGGGTCACCGAGGAGGTGAGGCCAGGCCCGGCGGGAGCGCGGTGGCCCCGTCCCCGCCTTCACCCCCTCGATGCGGCGGCCCCAACGCGGAGGGAGCGCGGCCCCCGCTGGGCACTGCCCCCAGGGTCCCTCGAGGCCGCGCCCTCCCGCCTCGGCCCGGAGCGGCCGCGTGGTGCGGGGCAGGCGGGGGCTCTCCCGGCCTGCGGGTGCGTGCGCGGCGCCGGGCCTGCCGCGGCGAGGGGCCAGCTCTGACCCGCAGAGACCGAGGGTTCGCCCTGTGAAAGCCCCTCGGAGCGGCCCGTAACGGGAAAATAAAGCGGCATGAGCCGGTCCTCGCTCAGCGGGCCGGGCTTGGGAGCGGCGGCGGGCAGCGGCCGGAGCCTGTTGTTGCTGCGGGACCCGCGCAGCCGTTCCCCAGCCGCGGGTGAGGCACCGCGGCTCCGTTCCCCCCCGGTTGGCGGCGTTGCCGGTTGCGGTTCTCCGGGGGCGGGAGGCCGAGCCAGCTCTGCGGGGTGGCGGTGCTGGCTGGTGGCAGCACAACCGCGCTACATCGCGGCTTCTGGGCCGCTGTGTGTGTCAGGTGGTTCTGCGCTCCCTGGTCTCTCACAGCAGTGTTTAGCTTGTTATGTATTTGTTTTTAATTAAATTACTACGTGAAGCAGTAACTGAGGACTAGGAAATCAATCATCTATTTATCACTAATGAAACTGCCTCAACTTGAAACTCTGAACCAGCCTTTGCATTAAATGGTGTGGTTTTACGTTTTAGTTCCTGTGGCTTGTAAGAGATGCCTGCAATGGAAAGCACATTTGTGTTTTTTGGTTAATAAACAGGTTTGTCGTATTTCCTGTTTCATTTTACTCAAGAGGTTATTGCATTTAGAAGCTTGCGCACAATTTCTTTGTTCCAGCACTTAAAATCCTGTAGAGTTCCAGAATACAGTGGGAATGAGATGGGAAGAAAAGTCTGATGCAATTCTTTGTCTTCAAACTCCTTTTTTATCTCCTCAGATATGGCAATCTGCTTTAAGCACTCTGAATCCAAACCCCACCGACAGCTGTCCTCTCTACCTGAATTATGCCACTGTGGCTGCTCTGCCTTCCAGGGTCAGCCGGCACAACAGTCCATCTGCGGCTCAGTTCATCACCCGCCTGGTTAGAAATTGCCTTCCAGGAGGTGTCAACAGATGTATTGTTGTAAGTGGCCATTTGAAAATGCTTCTGGTGCAATGTCTAGTCAAGTGTTTTCTCAACTTCTCGTGATTTTAAGCTGTCTCCAAGGAGACTGGAGGTGGGCAAGTTTTACAGATATAATTATACTGACATTTATAAGTGGTTTTGCACTGACACGTAAACAAGAGCTAACTATAACAGCTTATGCATGCTCAAGCAGTTGGAGGGAATTAAGGCTGGATGTGTATGGAATGTTTTCAATTAGAAGTGGCCATGCAAAGGAAACCAGTAGTGGCTTTTCTCAAACTAGGATGTACGATGTTAACACGTGGTTTAGAAGGTTGGTATAGCCTGCATGTAGGGTGCTGTGTCCATACTGTGCAACCCATTTATGGTGCCTTTTTGTGTTATTCGGTGAGTTTTAAAAGTCTTAGTGCAAGCCAGTGCTCCAGTGTGAGTCGTTTGCAGGACAAGCTCTTGGACTGCTTTGGTCATCTTCTCTGTGAGCCTGATGAGTTCGTTATTTTTTTCTGTGGCTTCTCCAGATTAATTCAGATTCTGAGGTTGTTAGAGAAGACTCTTACAGTCAGTAACAAAATCTAATTATACCTTTCAGTTTGAAAACTTATTTGCAAGAGTAATAACTCTACTTAGTAATTTTTTCCCCTATAGTTAACTTTGAAAATATTTAGCTATAACTGCTTTCCATTGGTAATTTCTATAATGAACTTCAGGAAAATGTTCTACATGGTTAAAAGCTTTTAGATTAATCTTAGCCACATTCACATATAATTTCCCTCTGTTTCATTTGTTTTATGAACACATATTGATGGTTCCCAGGCTGGTTTTTGTTGTCTTGATCTGTAGGCTAACTTGTGTTAATTGCACTAGTGTAATTAAAGCAGTCCAGCTCTCTTACGAGGATATACTAATTCCTGCACAGCCAAATCCAGTGTAATTCCATACAGGAAGTGAGCAGAATCAGTTTGATGTGGTACTGGTTGTACTGCCCCTCCATCCATGCAAAACATAACACATGTCTTGATTCAGATATCAGTATTTCCCACCCACCTCAATTTTTTATTCACCCTCTTACCAGTAATATCACAGGTCCTTTTAAATGGAGTCTTCCACATCCCTGATGGTGTCTGACTTGTTTGTATTCTGGCTTGTGTTTCAGATGGTCTGTGAACGGTCTGAAGTCTTTGCTTCTGCTTGTGCGTTGGCCAGGGCGTTCCCATTGTTCACTCATCGGTCCAGTGCATCAAGACGCACAGAGAAGAAAACTGTAACAGTAGAGTTTTTCCTGGTTGGACAAAACAATGGACCAATAGAAGTGGCAACACTTAAAGTAAGAGTTTGGGTCTTTTCCATAATATTTTTTTCCATTATTCCTTGAAATATCTTTTATTTGGTTTTTTTTTCAGTTTGTTGCATGCACAAATACAGGTCTCAGGCTGCATACAAATAGGTGTTGTATCTAAAGTAATAAACTGTCCTAGATCAAAGTTCCTCGAAATTGATCAGATCACAGCTGATTGAACATGTTAGTGCAGAAAAGGCTGAGGATGTTACTCAAAATTTAGATTTCAGGGATGGAAAACACCAAACAAATAGCACAAAGACAATGTCTCCCTTGTCATGTTTATCGTAGATGCAGATAGTGTATTTTTAACTTTTAATGTTACATTGCTTTTGGTGTGTGGGCTTCTCACTTTCTTTTACCCAGGCAAAATTTGTTTGTAGCTGTAAAGGTGAATATCACAGTGAAGTCACTAAAACTTGCTTATTATGGAAGCACATATGGCCTCTGCTATTTCTATCTGATATAACGCTGGCTGAGTTTTTCTAGCAGAGCTGTAGCAAAAAAACTAGACCCTAGGAAATTGTATAGCTCACAGATGAGCTATACATAACAGTTGAATAATTTAAGTCACCTTTCAGTAGCAGATAATCAAAGACTGTTTCCCTTGTACCTATTACAAAGAGGAAACTCCACATCGGATAACTTCTAGTACGCTAAGTCCTTCTTCTCCAAGATCCTGACTTAAAAGCTATTCCAAGGTTTGCACATAAGCTGTTGGGCAACCTCCTGCTCACTGCTCCAGGTTCTGTGTTTCAGTAAAGATGGACATTCACTTAGCTGATCAGTCAGTGAGGTTATACAAATTCCCTACAAATTCTGGCAATGGATTTTGCTGCATCTGAAATTCACAGAATTGCAGCTTTAGGGTATTTTTTTTTTTCTTTCAGTATCTTTTCCTCCATACTTTGTCCTTACTCTATGAACTGATTTGGCTACAGCAAATGATGCCAGATAGTTTTAAGGAAGGTGACAGAGGTGCTATGAATACAACTGTTGGTCACTCAATTTTTCCATGCCTCAAATCAGGAAAACCATAGCTGGTGTCAAAACCAGTTCCTTTGGATAGGTAGATTCCAAACCATTTGGGTTATTTATAACTTAAAAAACAAAGCTGAAATTATTTCTACCTCCTGTTCTTGCCCTTGATGTCAATGCCAAAACTATTACTGGCTTCCTCCAAGCTAAGTGTCCACCCTTTAAATTCAACCAGCACCAGACAGCTAATGTACAGCATGGATGAAGAAGCATGTAGTAGGATTTTTTTTTTTTTGCTAAAAAACCTCTCCCTCAGCATGTTGTTGTATTTTGCACCTACTGCATTGTCCAGGATATTTTATGATGAGGACTAGCGGGATTATCATAGTTTTATAAGGCACTTATAAAGGCTGTCATTATCCATGTTCTCTTGAGTACCCTGGAAGCCAAACCCAGGCACAGCTTATTTCTGTAAGTCATATTGTTTCCCTCAGACTTGGCTTTTGGGTAAGCATATAGGTAACCTCCATTTGCCTGCATGGCCCTAATGGTGAATCACTCTTCCCCAAAGCTGACTTGCCTCTCAAGGAGGCCCTTATGCCTTTAGGGGAAGTAAAGCAATCAAAAGTAATTGTAGGCAGTCGGGCACCATACCAAAGCAATCCAGTGTTTGAGTCTGCTGGGAGACAGTGTATACAGTTCTTAGACCAGTCTGGCCAAGCCAAACTTCAAATACCTCAGCAAAAATGAATACCCAACATATGAGATTCCTTCAAAAGCTGTCTTGACTCTCCCATGAGCTGTGTGTGGTCTTCAGTATAGTGTGGCTACTGGAAAGCTTGAACAATGTTTCCTACCACCTAGTCTTGCTTCAAGTGATTGATTCACAGGATTAAAAGTTGAAGCTTAGTGTCTGCTGCCCTCATTGGCCTTTTTGCCAGGAGGCTCCTTCTTTAAGGACATGGCCTCTTCCTGCTGTCAACTGTTACAGTTCTGTCCACTCTTGCCTAGATAGGTTTTTACTCCGTCCAGGTTGGGGTCAGTTCATTTTGCCACAGGAATGAGGAAACAGGTGAGATGCATGCATGTTTTACACAAATATGAACTATTCCACATTCCCCAAGGGTCTGCCATGTACAGTGTCTTACGGCAGTAATCTTTATTGCGCTCAGCCACTCTGCCTGCTATGAGTAAACTGCTGTTTCGAATGTCGTAGATTACATAATCTCTGCAGGCTTCCAGTCCTAGCAGCCTACAAGATCATTGTGACTTCCTGAATTGTCTTCCTCTTATCTTTCTTTTCTCCACCTCACGTTGCCTTCTTGATCTCCTGTTGATAGTGGAGAGTGCTGCTAATTTTGCAGTATCATTTCGCTGCGGGAAAGAATACAGTTGCTTAGAAATTACAGCACAGGAAAATATAGCTTAATTTTAACAAATACAAAAAATAATGTTTAGCACGGTTGACATTATTTAATACCATACAGCTGCCTATGATTGGTTGCAGTTAAGCATTAATATGATCCAGAGGAGCCACACATCTGGTGTACACTGCATAGGACTACATGCAAAGCTATGTAGAAAACCAGCCAAACCAAGGCTAGTTCTCACGTGTCCTCACTTATTTTCATAGTGTCTGGCAAGTGCTACAGAAGGAGTCAGGCTGGCTGCTCGAATTGTGGACACCCCATGCAATGAGATGAACACAGATAACTTTCTGGAGGTACGTAATAACACCTGATGAGTAAGAGTTACTAATTGTAAGTCTAGACTGCAGTAATCAGGAACTATGGTTGTTATCTCTTAACAAAACCTGTATGTCAGCAGTGGGAAGCACATCAAAGAACCTATCCAAGGATGCAGAGGCTATTTCTTTGGCCTTTAATATTTCCTAGAACTTTGCTAAGTTGGAAGGAGGCTGAGTGTACACTTGGGTTAAGGCACTAGGAGTCAGAAGACATGAGTTTTTTGATTCGGTCATGACACTGGCTTCTTTGCCAATGCTAGTGTTGTCTTAAGCCTGGTGGCGATTAATGTTTCTGAAGTTACAGGACAAAAGTTGACATGTTTCCAAATGAGTTTTATCATGAAGATCTGGAAAATATTCCTGTCCTATGGCATCATGATCCAGCAGAATGAACAGCTGGCCTTTACCTCTAAAGATTTGTTTCATTGGCGGAGCTTAAAGGTCAAATTTCTGTTTCATGCCATAGTAAATGAAGGATGTCTTAGTGGAATTAGGCCATTAGGAATTAGGCTGGAAAACCAGCACCGCTCCCAGAATTGTGAGTGTTTGGATGCGTATGCATGCAAAAATCACACAAAACCCTTAAGGGGGTACCTATATGTATGGAAAGACACAAATATGTCCTTCTGATAACTGACTGACAGTATCCTTTTTCTTTTGTTGATTAAGGAAATCAGAAAAGTTGGCAAGGATCTTGGGATTACTCCTACCATTATTCGAGATGAGGAGCTGAAAGAAAGAGGCTTTGGAGGTATATCTTGTTGAAAATTCAGCTTGTTTCCTAGCAGTTAATTGCAATGTTTTGCCTTCTCCATTGTAATGTTTTATTTGTACATTTCTGAAACAGTTTTATTGGCCATAGCATTCCAAGAAAATAGGCACAGATTGCTCCCTGCAGTTTTTCTTCCTCACAAGTGGTTTAATTCCATGTTTTCCAGGTATCTACGGAGTAGGCAAGGCAGCTCTGCATCCTCCAGCCCTGGCAGTTCTCAGTCACACTCCAGATGGTGCTACGCAGACCATTGCATGGGTGGGCAAAGGTATTGTGTATGACACTGGAGGACTCAGCATTAAGGGAAAGGTACATAAGCACTTGTTCTTCTGCTGTCTTTGCTTATGGTGTTGTTTTCTGATGGAAATGATTCAGTTGATGTCTGTAGGAAACCAAAGCATGTTTATTTGGGTAAAAACTTGACCTACTTTCATCCGTATGGACACAAACTACTGGGGAGAAGACCAAATAGGATTCAAGGAACACTTGCAGAGCAGTTAAATAATTACCTGTATTTTGCTCTTGTAAGTATTGCCCACTGCTAGGAGAAAACTAGAAACAAAGATTTTTTAATTCCTGATTTTAGACATGGATCCAGAACCCATTTGAGTTGGCCTCAGTGTAAATGTTGTAAAAAACCTTTTTCTTTTCTAACAAATTAGCAGCAGAGGTTTAGTATTTTCCAGTTCTAAGGCAAAAGCCAACAATAAGCAGATGCACATGTTCTGTGTTGCTGCTACAGCTGAGCACTGTCAAAACCAGAGGTACAGAAGCATCAGAAATGTGATAGTTTTTAGCAGGTATTGCTGTGAAATTCTCTTTTAAAGAATAAACGAAATACAAACCTCTGGTTGTCTTTAAACAGACTACGATGCCTGGAATGAAACGAGACTGTGGTGGAGCAGCTGCTATTTTGGGTGCCTTCAAAGCCACTGTAAAGCAAGTAAGTAAAATGTGTTAATTGATATCATGTTATCCCAGCATTGCCAGGGAGCAGTCTGGCTTTTGGATGTATTCCTGGATATGGAGGCCAGTCTAATCCTGGAATTCTGACCTGCCACTGCTATTAGTGATCTTGAGCCCCTCTTTCAGGAAGATACTTTAGATCTTTACTGGGATCTTGAGAATTGTGAGAAATTCCTTGAGTGCAATTTATTTTTTTTTAGGAATCTTTCTTAAATGTCAGGGTTTGTTCTGCAGCCTCAGTGGTTTCTAGTTCCTTGAGTCAGATTTATACTTGAGTTATCCAGTGCTGATTTTGTTTAAACTGTGGGATTTGGGGCAGCTGTCATCACCTTCGCAAAGAAATGGATGAGTGACTCTGGGATATAAAGTCTGTCCATATTCCAAATCCTGTGCCAGTTCTAATATTAACCTGCTGGGGAAGTGGCAGCTCTTGGGGAGCTGCTTGTTGGTTTGCTCCTGTGGTCAGAAAATAGTATGGGAGCTGAGAAGAGGCCAGGTATTGAAATACGAAGAATTAAAAAACAGCATGTTGTGCTTTAACAATAGGAGCTGGGGAAGAGAAGTGGCTGCTGCCAATAAAACTCTGCCCTCTCCACAAATCTGGTGACTGAATCCTGCTGACAGAGCAGCTGTTGCCTCCAAGGAGTATCCAAAGTTCAAAGAACGTTGACTGCTGCAGATTAATGCATAGATCTGATGGAAGCTTTGTCCAGGGGATGGTCAGTGCCAAATTCCCGTTTCTCAACAGTTTAGCTCTGTGCCTTGGCCCTAGCAGCATGTTTGATGTGGAAAGGTTGTAAACTTCACAGTTATCTGCAGAGACTTCAAATGGAAAACAGATTTGTGAGCTGCATCTTAGGCAAAACTGTTTTCCATAACCACGTCCTTCAGAAAGTTAGGTCGTGTGTTTGCAAGGGACAGGAGCTAGAACTTGGGCAGTGCTTTGGGAGGGTCTGGGAAAGCCATGGATGTGGTACGTTCTTTCAGTGATTCAGTTCCTGTTTCCAGAGTAGTTTTGTGTGCAGTTGTCTGCACTGAGAGAAGTTGCATTCACAATCAGTAGGTGAGAAAGTAAGTGATCTATCATTTCACATGCAATTACTGGGACAATGAACAAACTGGCAGTGATATGTTTGGACAAATTGAGCCTGAGTATGACAGTCTGTCAGACCTCACAGGAAATCTGTGCCTTTATATGTAAAAAGAAGAGAATGCTATCACTGCTTAATTTTACAACCTTGGGTAAGAAGGCCTGTTAATGAAATCCAGACAGAAAATGTATTCAGATAAGCAGTGGCAAGAATTTGTCAATGTTGCTGGTTCAAGACTTTTTCTTTTAATGCTCTTAATAGTATGAATCTAGAAGAGTTTTACATTAGCTATGCTTTGTTACAGAGACTGGAGCTGGAAAGGTGTGGGATAGAAAGCTGAGTGGGAAGAGGGGCTGAGGTTGTTAACCAACTTCAGAAAGTATCTGCCTAAATGCTGTTCAACAGTTTTACGGCGTGATTTAAAAAGGCTTTGGACGGCAAAATGAAGCAAGTGATTTTTTTCCTAGAAAGATGCATTTTATCCATTGTGAACTTTCCAACACAAGGGAGGAGAGAAAAACATTCACTTAGAGTTTGCAAAATCCTTGTTGAGCCTCATGTTAAGACAGTGAATCCTGCTTTGAAAAGCTACGGACAGAAGGGATTCAGGACAAGGCAGCTCGTACTGGAAGCAGGTTTTCATTTTTTTTAATAGTAGATTAACCACGTCTCCTACTTGGAGGAGGAAAACTTGGTGGGGTCCAGTAAGAGATTGTGAGTAGAGTAAGGTTTTTGCTGCACAGGCTGTTTTGGAAAAGCAAAAGGTCATAGATGGAAGGTTATCTCATCAACAGTGCTGTTTGCCCACTGGCTTCTAGGAGCTGCCTGTTACTTTGAAAGGTTTTGATTGATGCATTTACCCTTTAGACTTCACAACATGCGCTGATTCAGCAAGTCCATATTTCTTCAGCTATGGACTTCTATCAAGAGATTAACAGTAAAACTGACCCTGGTTTCCCCAGGAATTTGATGGTTTTCAGGCTAAGTATCCCAGTTTTAGCCAGGCTTTACATGGAAAGAGAAAGGATAGATCTGGTAGCATGTATCTGACCTGTGGTGCAGGATGGATGCGGAAGGGCAGTGAACTGTGTGCAGGTGGGAGATCCACTGGGATATGTTGTTTCTACCACACACCAGGATTGCCACAATCAAAATAACTTTCCAGGAAAATTCTCACAGATGGAATCTGTTCACCTGGGGTTGATTTTTTTTATTTATTTTTTTTTTAGGGAAAGTATACTGTACACAAATGGCTGCATATTAGCATTTATTGTTTCCATAAGTTTCCACTATTGCTGTAGGCTCTTCCCCAGCATGGCAGAAATTATGGCAAGGAGCTCAGTTTCTCAAGTGGCCCCAGGTGTATCTTTGTTGTTATTGGAGACTAGATAAAAACAATGGAAAAATCAGGGTTTGGAAATTAATCCCAAGCATCCTCACTGGCTGTGTAATGTCCTCCCACAAGCCTTTTAATTGTCACATTAAAGGCATCCGTTGCTGGATCTTTCCTTTGTGGCTGTGAAAGTTGGAGTTGCACAGTGCGGATGTGTTGTTTGTGATCTCTGTTGTGAGTCAGTGCTAGAGCTGTGTTAAAATCGGGTGATTGAAGCATTGCATCACTGGAGATGCATTCTGTTGGTTTTCACACCAGGGGTACTGTTACTTCAGTGATTTGGGGTTTGGTTTTGGTGAGCTTGGCAGTTTCCTGGTGAGCTCAGCGGAAGATCTTACTGGAGCTGGCTGTAAAGAGCTGAACACGCTCTTCCCAGGGAATCCGGTTTAACTAAACAGCTCCCTCCAGTTGCACCTGCACATTTCATATAAAAGATGTTTTAATTTGGATACCTTGCCACTGAGAGAAGGTTGTACTTATCACTGCTTGACAAGCGCTTTTCTAGGTCACTGCCCCATTTGTCTGTCACATGCATATAGGCATTTATTCACTCTTCAGCGCGAACTCTAAAACCAGTATTAGATGTTACCTCCTTGCTTTCTTTCTGTAGCTCATGGCCTCAGCTTCAAGATACAAGATGTTCCTCATAGATTTCCCAATAACACATGTAATTAGTGGCATTGCTGTCAAGAAGTCATGATCCCTCATTGATTTCTGTCCAAATAAATTAACTTGATGTGAATCAAAAGCTCTTTCTTTCCTATGATTGTTACAGGGTTTTAAAGACAATCTTCATGCTGTTTTTTGTTTGGCTGAGAATGCAGTTGGACCACGTGCAACAAGACCTGATGACATTCATGTTCTTTACTCTGGAAAGTAAGATTATATCTACCCTTTCCACAGAAACATTGAGAGGAAATGCCAGCTTTGGTTCTGTTAGTGTGAGTGCCATGCAGATCGTGAGCCTGTCCCTCATCTGCTTCCCTGAATAGTGATAATAGTATTTCAGACAGCCATAGTAGGGAGTTAATGCAAGTGTGCTTAGAATTTTCTGTTGGGTATGTAAATACACATCAAAACACGTATTATGAGCTGAAGTTTTCTTAAAGCACTCAGGTTTAGGTGTTTTCTCTGTCCCCATCTGTATTCTATATGGTCACAGAGGCAGACTGCCACTGTCTCTCTTCTTGTTTTAAGCAGAGTATGATACGTCTTTGTATGGCAATAATTCATAAAATCCCAGCTTAACATGGTAGGCATTATACAGGCCTAACAAATAAGACCCAACCATGAGGACAGTGCTATTAAAACCATTTTCCATGTGTGCTCTGTCTGGATGCTTGCAGCTGGGGAATAAGGAGCCATCCAGAATTGCGGAGCCAAATAGGAAAGCACATTAAGTTTGAGTCTGCTTTTTCATCCAGTATTCTAGTCCAGACAGATGAGTTAACTTCCAGCCTGAAGCACTGTTGTATTAAATGTCCTCTCTTCTTCCTAGAACTGTGGAAATCAATAACACTGATGCAGAAGGTAGACTGATACTGGCTGATGGAGTGGCTTACGCATGCAAAGATCTTGGAGCTGATATCATTCTTGATATGGCCACTCTTACTGGAGCTCAGGTACTGATACAGAACTGCTAACAGACAGGGTGCATCCTTCTGCTGTCTGTACGTTATACGCTGCTTTGGCTCTATCCTGCTAGTCTCTGGGGGAAAGTAGATGTTGTGAACTGTTGTGCTTGATGGTGGGTTCCTAAACTTGTGCAAGAGAAAGTTGCCAGTAGCAACCCTAGAAAACTAATCCTCTGTGCACGTGACATAGGCCATGAGTGTGTGACGTTCATAGCTGCATTACTCAAGCAGGAGGTTTTTTGTTCTTTATGCAGTTTTTTTTTGCTTTTGCATACTCAAAGTTGTATTTTCCTGATGACACTGGCAGCTGATGTAAGCTATCCAGTACTCAATGTTTGCAAGTCAGTAGCTTTATAATCAGCAGAACTGATTTGATGATAGTCGTCAGGAATTTTCTTGTCCATAAAATGGCTTATGTTGTAAGTCATACACAGAATGATGCAAGTGTGCAAAATTAATGCTGTTGTTGTTTAAAATCTATTCCTGTTTTATCGGTTGTGTTGATGAGCAGTGATTCTTGTAGCTTAATTTTCTAGAAAATAAATTGATCTTCATATCAGGAGGAGAAATGGTGGCAAATTTTAGAAGCATGGATGTTGCCTTCATTGGTGTAAATATCAGTCCTTTGAAAATCTCTCATCATTATCCTGCTGGAACAGTGGTGTGATGGTGGCTTCTGTGTTTTGTATATTTGGAAGGAAGCAATTTTTCCAAGGAGTGAGGATGTTAAATTCAAACTGTCTGTGTGATTGACACACATTGCTGGGGTATCCTCTGTAAAGTGATAAGAGTTTGCTTGCTCAGTAACTGTAAAGAAACGTTTTTGTGGAGCAGTGGTTTGAATAGGCCAGACAAATGCAGACTGTTTCCCTGCAGAATGGATTTACAGAGATGTTAAAAGAGTCAGAGTAGCTGCAATGTCTTTGTCCACATTTGTAATGTTAACTTCTTGTGGAATAGTTTTGAGACTTTTTTTCTTGGTGGTTTTGTTAAATGGAAAGCAGCTGTTAGTGCTGAGAGGGAGCAGTACAGAGTCATTGTACCCAGCACAGTTAAGGTGAATCCTTCCTGATTATTTTCTTATTTCACTAGGGAATTGCTACAGGAAAGTATCATGCTGCTGTCCTTACCAATAATGAAGAGTGGGAGAAAGCTTGCGTTAAAGCTGGCAGGAACTGTGGGGACTTGGTCCATCCTCTTGTGTATTGCCCTGAGCTCCACTTCAGTGAATTTACCTCTGCTGTAGCTGATATGAAAAACTCTGTGGCAGTAAGATTTGTTTTCTTTTAAATTTCATTTGTTACATAAAAATGTGTGTTTCTAGATAATGTGCTGACCTGTCGGTAACTGGCTGAAAGCTTTTCATGTGGAATGTATTCACAGAAATGAGCCATGTAATCAGGTCTTCAGGGTCTTTTACCTGGGGATTTTGCAGGCTGTATGTTACTACACTGATAACTTAGTGTCAATTTTAAACAGGGTGGCTTGCTTAATCTTCAGGCTGCTTGCGTTCAAGCATGGCCCTAAGATGAATTTAATGCCATCCAGAGGGACCTCGACATGCTTGTGAGTTGGGCTAATGCCAACCTCATGAAGTTTAACCATGCCAAGTGCAAGGTCCTACACCTGGGTCGGAGCAATCCCAGGCACAGCTACAGGTTGGGCAGAGAAGAGATTCAGAGCAGCCCAAGGAGAAGGACTTGGGGGTGTTGGTCAATGAGAAAATGAACATGAGCCAGCAGTGTGTGCTTGCAGCCCAGAAAGCCAACCGTATCCTGGGCTGCATCAAAAGGAGCGTGACCAGCAGGTCAAAGGAGGTGATCCTGCCCCATTACTCTGCTCTTGTGAGACCTCACCTGGAGTATTGTGTGCAGTTCTGGTGTCCTCAACATAGAAAGGACATGGAACTGTTGGAACAAGTCCAGAGGAGGCCACGAGGATGATCAGGGGCTGGAGCACCTCCTGTATGGAGACAGGCTGAGGAAGTTGGGGCTGTTCAGCCTGGAGAAGAGAAGGCTGCGTGGAGACCTCATAGCAGCCTTCCAGTATCTGAAGGGGGCCTATAGGGATGCTGGGGAGGGACTTCATTAGGGACTATAGTGACAGGACAAGGGGTAATGGATTAAAACTGAAACAGGGGAAGTTTAGATTGGATATAAGGAGGAAATTCTTTACTGTAAGGGTGGTGAGGCACTGGAATGGGTTGCCCAGGGAGGTTGTGAATGCTCCATCCCTGGCAGTGGTCAAGACCAGGTTGGATGAAGCCTTGGGTGACATGGTTTAGTGTGAGGTGTCCCTGCCCATGGCAGGGGGGTTGGAAATGGATGATCTTATGGTCCTTTCCAACGCTAACTATTCTGTGATTCTATGAATGCTAAATTCCTGAATGGAGATGGTTTAAGAAGTGAAGACTGGTATTCCTCAGATCATGTATAACCAGCAGGGGCTGTACCTGGGAATGCAGAAACCAGGAAATTGAGGACAGGGGCCTTGGGGATTGCTGCAGCTGCTTTTGCTGCGTTTGTGAGTTAAGTTTCGAAAACACTGCAGAAAGGAGCTTTACAAAATAACTATTACTGAACAGGGCCAGGCTGGTACCAGGGATTAAGTCTAATGATGTACATCGTAGTTGGTTTGCAAGACTGTGTTTTAGGGTCGTTCATTAAGGTTTGAACTAGATCTGCACAACTGTCTTTTCTATAAGATGGAATAGGCAAGAATAAAAGACCTTGACATTTCCTTTTCTTGCAAGACCAACCATATTCTTATTATTTCTGCAGGACCGAGACAATACTCCAAGCTCCTGTGCTGGGCTCTTCATTGCTTCTCACATTGGCTTTGACTGGCCTGGAGTCTGGGTCCATATAGACATTGCTGCCCCTGTTCATGCAGTGAGTATGTTCCTGTGACTTCTGGTCCTTTCCTGAGCAGGCAAACTTGGTAAAGGAAACTGCATAGGCCTGCTGATGCTCTGAATTCTGTGCCATCAAATTCAAAGAGAATTGGGTGAAGAGTTCTTTTGAAAAGCGTTGACCTTTCATCTGGATTGGGAATTTCTTTGTTTTGGTTCCTTGATCTGTTCCTATTTTTCATTTTGATTTTAAAGTATTCTAATGGTCGCTTTGATCAGCAACATCGTTATCATTGTAAACTTCAACAGCATGCCTGCTTTCTGCCTGTGGCAATAATCCTAGCCTTCCATTTACACCCACATTGTTTTGTTAAGATGATTGACCAGAGTTGATCATCCTGCCTGCTGACCTGCAGCAGAGAAAACATTTGTTTCCTCCTGGGGATTTCCCCTCCTCCCTTTGATGGAACTTGTGTATATTCTTTTTTCCTAAAAGCCAACCAATTTACTCCCCCCTCCCCCTTTTTTAAAAACAGACTTACTTAGCTCGTACTGCAAATCCATGCTTCTGCTGGAGGGAGCATTCCCAGCCCTGAGCAGTGCTAGCATAAATCGGCCCTTGAGTCAGTGGGAGCTCTGTTCTCACGTGAGTCAACCAAGATGCTGATTGAATCTGAACGGGACAGACTCCAGTAGCAGTAAGGATGCAGAAGCAGAATCTGAGCAAGCCTGCCAGGGACCCTGAGTACTGTCTGTGGCCCTGCACCATCACTGCTCTTGTTGAGCGCGAGGTAAACTAAAAATAGGTTCAGATTCTACAATCTGAAGTGTGAATTGTTTGGGTTTATTTTTTATTCCTAGGGTGAACGAGCTACTGGCTATGGCGTGGCTTTATTGCTGTCCCTGTTTGGAGGGGCATCTGAAGACCCTTTGCTTAACATGGTGTCCCCTCTTGGGTGCAATGGAGAATCTCACACTGAAGATATGGAGAGGGATTCCAAACGGCGGCGCCTGGTTTAATGCGCCGCAGCCCTAAGTGACGGGGTGCGTGGGTTGCCTCACTTTGCACTGATTCATTCTCAAGCAATGAAAATGTCACACATCAGAAATTGCCATGTCTTTTTTTTTTTACTATTGTAAGATTTATTACTTGTTTCTGATAAAAACAGCCTGATTACTTGTGGTTTTTTAAATTATTGGTGCACACAGTTGCTGAACAGTATCAGTGGCGCAGAGTCCATTCTCAACTAACTGTATCAGGAAAAGGATACGTTCTCCTCTGAGCTCCTCACAAAACCTAACTAAGTGCATTAATGCATGAGAAGCTCTCGCTAGTCTGAAGAAGCAACTGCAGCTCTTGCTTAAGAAGCCTTCTGAATTACTTATTAAATGTGAGGTTTTATCAGACGTTTCCGCAGTCCTCACTACATCGCAGAACAACAGGACGAGAAAAACTTCTGTAGACTTGGCTTATTCAGTGACAATTTAGCTTAGCAGCAAAAGAGATGTAATGAGAAAGACCTATGGAAAATACGGTGCTGTTTCCGCATGTTTAATGTTTTTCTGACCAGTAAAATCAGCGAGAGCAGTCCAGAACATATCTCTACGCATATCTTTCACATACAAGTTGCAGGATGTATTCATGTTAAATGAGGAAAACAATAGAGGGACTGTGATTGAGTAAAATCGGTTTACAAAGCAGAGTGGTTTCTTGCCACTTAATAAATTTATTATTATTATTAAAGCAGTTGACATATCCCATGTGGTGTTTCATGATGTTATTTACACTTCTAAGAACACTGAGTGCTCCAGAAGTTTGTGTGCGACATCATTACTCTGTTCTAGTTCCTTTTCTCAGCACTCATACATGTGAAAACAGACCTAATAGAGTAACAGCCTATACCCAATGGTTCAGGAGGTCCTGCAGAACTTCATTTGTTTGATTCAGCTGTAATCAGGGGTGCATAGTATTCATTCCCTTAGAGAGCTTACAGGCGCTAGTTTGGCTTGGATGCCTATGGGAAATGACTTGCCCCAGTTTATGTAATGTCAGTGGCAGAGTTGGGAACAGAGTGACCAGGCTTTAATTAGTGCTGGTCCCTGCCCAGCGGTCCAAGCGTCAGCCTTTGGAAACATTTCTTGGCTCAACCAGAGTGTTGATGGTGAAAAATCCCACCCAGCACACACTCTTGGCTGCTCTGCAGATAAAGTCAAGCTGAGCTGTGATGGATTACACCTTTTCCTGTTTCAGAGGTGATCTCTGGAGGGAACTGGTGCTAGGTTTTAGATGGAGTTCCAGCAATGAGGGTTAGGCATGAGTCTTTTTGGCTAAAGACTTCATGGAAAGCTTAATGCAGGAGGGAGAAGAAACATTTTTCATTCTGGTTTTGTGGTGATACTTGATTCTTAGAATGTGGTGGGTTTTAAGAGAAAAAGAAAACCAGAACTTCATTATTTTCTATATTGGCTTCTCCTTTGCTGGTCTGGTTCCCTGGTCCACTGATCATAGTTTTAAGAGATTTATATATAAATGAGTTCTGCCTTTGGTCATTCGAGACGCTCAGTGTAAAGCACTGTCTGGTACCAAAAGCTGTTAAGTGAGGTGTGTGGGTGAAGAGTTATTTTCAGTACAGGCTCAGTCTGACCACTGAAGCTAATGGCAAAAGGTTCTGCTTTCAGAGCTCTGAAATCAAGTCTTCAGGCTCCGTCTTGTAGAAACACTTCAAATTAATCAGTTCTCATTCTGAAATTTAGGGTTTTGCTAAAACAAGTTGGGTTTTTTACGTGAAACTGTAGCCTGTGGGTTTGTGCCCTAGGGCTGAATTCTGTTCACTGAATGCAGCAAGCCCAGATAAAGGAAAAGTTCAGTTTTGATGGCTGATTCCCATATTCTTCAATTTTGCTCTCAGAGCATACCCTTCTGCTGGATCTCATTTGGAAGGCACTTCATAGAAGCCATGTTTCAAAAGAAATACCTCATATTAAGGAGATCTAATATGAAAAGCAAAGGGGATAAGTATTAAAAATCAAAACCTGAAAACCAGCTTAGTTTTCATTACACAGAATAAAATACAATCAATCCAACACCTGATGGTAAAAAGCACTGATGCTGCCTCTGTTTGAGACATACAAAATAAAAACAAGGCTTTTCTGGTTTTTTGCTTTTAGTTCCATAACAAAATCTCTTGCTGTTCCCAATGTACATTATTATTTCCTTCCCTTTAGCTAAGAGCTGTATTCTCTAGAGTAGAAGCTCAGGACCTACACAAGGCAATGGATTGTGAGCTGTATTTGCCACAGAAATTATTCTCCCTCTTCTGTGTTTCACAGAGCTTACACTGGGATCGTTCCTGTTAAGCTCACAATGTTTCTTAGCCCCCTAATGAGTAGAATCTTAGTTCCTTCAAGACCCACTGCCACCACCTGGATTGACTTACCTACTGTCAGGTGCTGGGCACTTCTAACCTGCTGCAGCATTTGCCCTGAAGTGTCTTGGTGTGAGACGTGGAAGCAGTCAATGAAAGGGGAGATCCCCAAACTTCCTTAGAGGTAGCAGATGGTGTCAGAAATCAGTATATGGGACCGTTACTAAACACAGATAACCCTGTGCTGAGCAGCAAGGCTGGAATTTGGTCTCTGCAGCTGCCACCCACTTGTGCTGACTGCTACGTGGCCTGAAGCAAGCAGAGTGCAGTTTGATGTTCTTACTGCCTCTGCGGCCATCCCCATCCAGCCCTCCACAATGACTCATGCATTGAGCTTTACAATCCCCTCTCTGTGACAAAGCAGCAGGTATTTCAGGAAACAGTTTCAGACACCAGAGGTTGACCTCGGTGGCTTTAGGTGACTACACTTGAAGTATACTCTGGCATCATTTAAGCAACTTCAGATAGAAAAACACCCCTGCCCTGGGCAGGGTGTGCTTGCAGAGTGCTGTAAAGCTGGGTCCTCCACACTGCAGGTACCCTGACCAACCCCTCAAAAGCAGCACAGGGCTGGGTGGGTTGCTGAGGGTTACCTCAGTGTACAACCAGAGAACTGAAACTCGGGGGCTCCCAAGCTTCAGGTTCCCACATCTCACACTCCCCAGCTGCCTTCTGAGCACCTGCAGGAGGTGGAGCAGTGTCACAGAGGACCTGATACCGGGCTCCAGAAGCAGCATAAAGCCAGGCAGGTGCCTCTCTAGGTTGTTCTGCAGGAATTAGAGCTTACATTGCTACAGCTGTGGGCCCAGTACTTTGAACAGGAGGTTGACAATTAAGCATGAGCTAATACATGCCCTCAGGCAATTTCCTTCTCATTTCCTCCTTGGAGCTGGGCTCCTACTACCTGAGAATGGTCCAGTGGAAGCTGACATAAGCAGCAGGTGAGTTAGCAAGCTCCTTTGCCATGGCCACCCAGCTCGGGGTGAAATCCACAGCAGACTAGCACAGACTTGGTGACAAGCAATGCCCTCTGGACAATAGGTTGCTATGAGCTGTGTGCCAGACTTGGGAGGGGAGGACAAGGGTGATCTGCTGGGTTGCTTGGAGTTGGTGGTTTATGGATTGTCCAAGGCCAACATGCTCAGTCAGGGAAAAACCTGGCTGTGATGTTTCCAGCTGGTGATCCTCACTGCAGCAAAGGCCTTTTCTGACTGCTGCGTTTTTACCGGGAGCAAATGAAACCAGTGGCATCTTTTGCTGTGTTCCGGTGCTGCCAGGGGCTGTCTGAGCTGGGACTGGCGACAGGCGCATCACCAGGGCTTTGCCGAGGGCTCAGTCCATACAGGGAAGATGCAAAACACTGCTTATGGATTAACTTGCCGGGCAGTACTGGCTCTGTGAAGGTGTTTACATGGTGTGGTAGCGACAGGCACGCACCTCTGGTGTGCTGATACAGAACTTCATGGTGTCTGATATGGTGCTGGATGCAATTTGTTGTCCAGGTCGAGTAGAGGAGCTAGTACAGTGCCATGCACAAGTACCACAGTTCACTGTGTGCGCATCTTTAAATCATACAGGAGTCCTGCACTCGTGTATCGGGTTCTTGGGCGGTGCTTTCTGTGTGAAGGGCATAGTGCTTTGTCAGGCTGATGTATGCTGCTTCAGTAAAAGGCACCAAAGTCTTCTGCTGAGAACTCATGGAGACTGGTTACCTGGAGAGGAGTCTGACAGGGTGCTCTAAGTGTGACCTTTACAGCACCAGGGCTACATGTAGCCTGAGGGGGTGAATTAGCCTAGTCCCTTACCACAGCTATAGAGAGAAAAGTTATTCTGGGGGATACAAGCTTCCCACTGGTGATGGGGAGCCTGTGTTGGTGGATGTTTGCAAATACCTGCTCCTGCATCTGGGACAGCATTTACTAAAGCCAACGAAATCTGTGATGTTGGAAGGCAGAATGAAACTCAAGTGAGACTTGCTGCACTCACATTTCTCCTGCGATTTTCCTTCCTGCTGCTTTATATGTGGGTCTCAACAGCCTTCAGTTAACACTGAGGTGTTAAAGTCTCTTAGCTGTTGAGTTTTGAATTTGTGGTTGTGTCGTGTTTCGGTCGGAGGAGCCCCCTATCTTGTAACCACTCCTGTCAGGAGTCCAGAGATGTCCGGGGGCTGATTGGCCACCCCTGCCATGGACTGAAGAAGTGGCAGAAGCAGCAAAGGAGGCCACACAATACAGATCAGAGTAATCCCACTTCCTGCATTTCACAATCATTTTCCTCTCCTGCCCCATAGGCTGAGGATATTTCTGCAGAGAAAGGTTTCGGTTAATCTGCCACAGCTGGTTCAGAAGTTCTTGTGAAAAGGGATTGCACAACAGGAGTCGCTCACCTTCTTGGGCTTTCCCCATCCCTTCATGATGAAAATGTGAGCACATAAATCATACAAACACAGACCCAGCTGGAGAAGCTGAGGCTTGTGCTAGTCCAGACCCATTCTGGTTCCTTTGGGTGTGTTGGATTTTATCTGTAGCTTCTGGATTGAATTCTGCTGGGTAGCTGAGCTGTGTCTGGGGTAGAGGGACCACAGACACCTACTTCTTGCTTTGGTACAGGATGGGGGGGGGAGGCCTGGGGATCCCATCCTGTTTCTGATTGGGCTCAAGTTCTTTTAAAATTAATATTTTAAA